GCCATACACCCCTGAATCTTCAAGATAGAAATCTCCCCTCTTTTTCTTTTTCTTCCCTTTTAGCTTTCTCTACCCCGCACCTTTTGGTTCCTTTCCTTTTAATTCATTTGGTTTTATTTGCTGTTCTTCATAGTCTTTTCCCTCTACTATTTTCTGTTCAGCTTTTCTCTTTAAGTCTTTATTCCTCTAGAGCTAAGACAACATCCTCCCACTCTCTTCTTCACACCTCCAACTTTTACATATAAACTAAACTTATTCTTTCCATTCTTACTTTCTCCCATCTTCTCCTAATCCTTCCAACTCTGATCCCTTTTCTCTTTAGATTCAATCCCTTCTTACATCTTATTGATTTTCCACTCCTTTCCTCTTTGTTTTTCCCCTTAAGTCCCCTCTGTTCTTCCTGTGGCTCTCTCCTGTTCCTATTCTTTCCTCATTCTCCCACTCATTTACTTACCTTCTCTATTTCCCCATTTTGAGGTGTCTTGGGTTTTTGCTTAAATTCTCTACCTGCTCTGAGTTTTGCAAGAATAAGTTAGAGTTTTATATTCCAAGAATAGGCCAAGGGACCGTGATTGACCCCCAAGGTATCTTATGGGCCCTTGCAATATGCCAGCACTGTTCTTTGTTTTCTTCCTCTCCTTCTATTAAGGGGTTAGTAGGGTATAGAAGGAACAGAGAATAATCGAGAAATGATGACCTTAAAGGCAGACATCATAAAATTTTAACATGAAAACTTCTTGAAAATGATAGGTTATACATATCTCATGCAAATCATATGCTAATAATATGTTAACCAAAAGCATGGTCTTACTGTGACACCTGGACGGAACCCTGGTGAAAATTTTTAGTGTCAACCCTTGGTTAAAGTAAGGGCTGGGATAATGTCATTTTAGGTTTAAGTTATAGAGTTAAGGTTATGGAGTTCAGTTTGGGAATTGATTTAGAGTTAGTCTAGGGATTGAGTTGAGAATTGGAATTACTGCAGTTATGGCTAAATTTAGAATGAGGAGTAAAGCTGGGCTTCAAACTGGTTTGGGTAAGTGCTGGGGTTCTACCTGGAACTGAAATGGGGAGCACTAGGAACCCATCTAGGACCTCCACCTTTGCTCCCTGACTCAGGCCTTCTCCTCATTCCTGTTCTGGTTCACCTCTTAAGCCCTTTTCCCAAATCTCACTTGATTCTTCTTGTTTACCATTTACAAATCGTCTCTTAGCCCTGCTAGGCTTCTTTTTGGCTGATCAGATCAGCTGAAACTAAGTTTTCTCTCTCCTGCTTTTGCACCCCTGCTCTTCATCCCCTTATGAACCCAGACTCTTAACCTTGATGTCCTAGGGTTTGCTGCTAGGCCCTGGTCCTCCTAACCCTGTCAAGTGACAGCTGCAGGAAAAGAAAGAAGCGCCTGGTGAGCTAGAGGCATCATTCCAGAGTGAGGGGGAAAGTGCAACAGAACATGAATAAATTCATGGAGCTGGCCCCCTAGCTATCTCCACAGTGCTCCATGCCCCTCCCCTGCTGCAGTCCTGCTGGGCTCCCACAGCTCTACAGCCAACAGCTTTGCTCCCCATCCCCAGAGAAGCAAGAAGGTGAGAGAATGTCTGCACTGAGAAGGAAAGATTGAGAAAGAGGAGCTGAAGGAGGTTTGTGAACAAGGGTTTGTGAAAGAAGGGCAAGGGTGTAGGAAGGGCTAAGAAGAAAGCTTTGAGGATAAAAAGGCTGAAGAGAGATTAGGCAGAGGTTCTATGGTGAGAGCAGAAGCTAAGAAAGATAAAAAAAGAGATGGAAAGAGGGAAAAAGAAAAATGCAAAGTGAAGGACAAAGACTGGGAACCAGTTTGGTCAGTGGGGGATGAACTCAGAAATTTGGGAGGAGCACAGGGTAAGATGGAAAAGGGGAAGTGAGGAAGGTGGGGAAAAGAGAGACAGAGCTAGAGAGGGAAAGAGAAAGACAGAGAGAGGGGGGGAGAAGGGAGAAAGGGAGAGAGAGAGAGAGAATAGGACAGAGGAAGCTGGGGTAGGGAAAACATTGTATGCATGGACTCTCTCTGTCTCTCTCTCTCTCTGTCTCTCTCTCTCTCTCTCTCTCTCTGTGTCTCTCTCTCCCCCCCCCCCCTTTCTCCTCTGATCCATCCATCATCCCAGCCTGGGGGATCTGCTTTGGAATTAGACATGCAAGGGGCTGTCGAGGCCCTCAGCCTCCCCCACCCCAAGACAAATGGTGACAAAGACCTTGGAATAAAATTTGTATTTATAGTATGAAGAGCCAGCCCCTCCTTTTCCTTCCACTACCAACAGTCTCCATCCACCACCTGACCCTCTCAAGCTATCAACCCCTCCCCTTAACTCTCCCTCCTCCTCTATCCTTCCCTCCTTGTCTTAAGCTAAGGGAAGGGAGAGAGAAAAAAAGGGATCTGGCCCAAGAGGGCCAGGACACACCCAGGAGCTCAGAAAGCAACAGATTGTCCCACAAACCTTACCCCCTCAGCTGACTCTTCAACCCAGGCCCAGTAATGCAGCAACATGTGACTCCCTATGATACAGGTCCTGCTTCAGTACTATATCTTCCAAAACTCAAATCCCTTGCCCTAACCTCTGACAGCAGTTTCCTGACCCCATCATCCTGGTTCCCCGAGCATCTCTCTTCCTTCTCTCTCATTCTCCTATTTGAATTTCCCAAGGCTGCTGACTCCATCCTCTGTCCTCTAAACACCCAGCCCTTATCATTCCTAGGGATTTGGGAAATGCAAGTATAGTATCCTTCCTCTAGAACTTTCATGCCGTATTCTGGGAGGGAACTCTAAAGTCCCCTGCCCTTGTGATTGTTCCTCAAAAAATCAGAGGCACAGACTATCACTGAAGGGCAAAGTCTATCATTAAATCTACAGACTGATTTACATTTTTTTGCATAGCAAGTTTCCATTTCTCCCCTCTCTACCAATTATAAATCATAGGGAGGGGCAGATAAAATCAGATAAGGGGTTATAATTTTCCTTTTTCCAGATTAAAAACAGGGCCAATTTTTCACTCTGTAGGAAGTAAATGTGCCAGTCACCTTCTGAGGGGTTGTGGGACAAGCCTTGGCTGAGGCCTTTGGAAGGCACTAAGACTAAAGACAGACCTTTTCTATCATGTTCTTCTCTCACGCTGCAATCCTGAGGAATTTCTCCTGGTGCACTGTGTCCCATTCAGTAGAATCAGACAGCCTACATATACACAAGACAAAAGGAGGACACCCTCCTCCTCAATACTTTCACACAGAAATAGACATTCATAGTAACACATGAATGAAGGTACACAGTGAAACAGTTATATTTCCAAATACCATCAAATAATTTACAGTCACAATGCCATCCTTTACAGACTCATACACACAGTCATGCATAAACACTGATGCATATTTACATACATACAATAACATATCCTGTACATACAATTACGTAAACACACAGTCACATAAACATATAGCATGACACAGACCTATAAGTCATACACAGAGAAAGACCTATTCAGTCTTACAGACATACACAGTCTCACACAGACTCTCACATGCAGTCACATTTGTTCTCTTCTCTTTGCAGAGAGTTGATATGTTACATTGGAGTCAGCACACGGACCTGGGTGTCTCTCTGTAGCTCGCCATTTACATTTCTCTAGATCTGTCAACCTGTCTCCGCTCTCTGTCTCCCACTCTATCTCTGTCTCTCCCTCTCAGCGTTTCTCTGGGTGCCTTTCTTTTTCTATCTCCCTATTTCTTTGTCTCTGTCTCTGCATCAGTATTTGTCCCCTTTATTTCCTGGTGGTTTCTTTTCTCTTTCTGCCTGCTTCATACTCATTTTCTGTCTGTTGCCTTTTTTCATTGCAATTCAACAAGTATATATCGAACACCCGCCCTGTGTTAGCTCAGAGTCAGGCGCTTTGGGGAGAAGGCCTTCTCTTCCCCCCCCCTTTTTTTTGCCCCTCCATTGTCTTTTTCTCCCTCTGCCCTCTCTCCACCAAGTCTCTCATGTATCTATCTGCCTCTGTTTCCTGGTGTCTCTGTCCATACATCTCGGTATCTCTGTCTTTTTCTTTCATACTGCTTCAAGCTTCTGTCCAGGTCCTCTTGGTTACATGTTTGTGGAGCCCCGGCCCTGTGTTTTAGAGGGCTGCGGAGTAATTGGGCCTCCCCTTAGAGCTGTTTCCTGGGGTAGAGGAGAGGAAAAGACCGAAGGGGAGGGCCAGTCCTCCGCCCCGCCCCCGCCCTCCCCATTCTCAGCTGCAGGGGTCGCTCCGCCTCCGGCCGCTTATAGCGGCTCCCGCCGCGCGGCTGCTCACACAGCCCGCTCAGCCACCCCAGGAGGGTGGGAGGGAGTGAGAAAGCCAGAAGGAGAAAGAGAGTGAGAGAGAGGAGAGCGGGACTGGGGCCGCTGCCAGGCTAGGGCCGGAGTGGGGTCAGCACCATCCCAAGGCCAGAGAGCTGAGCCCTATGAAGAGTTCGCATCAGGTTCGTGCCTCCCGAAGCGCAGAGCCTGGGGCGCCTGGCCTGTGGGGAGTAACCCCCGCCGGTCCAGGACCGAACCGTCAAGGGATTCGGGAACGCAGGAGTTCGGGATTCGTGAGAAACACACCGTTCGAGGAACCCGTGACCCAGGTATCCGAGATCCGTGAGTGTCGAGCAGTCAGGGCGAATTGAGGACGCAGGGTCCCCAGGTCCTTGGGCACCGAGCCGTCGGGGGCTGCCCCAGTATCAAACCCCTTGGCAGCTGCTTTAAGAGACACTTTCGGGGTTTGAACCATTGCCATTGGAACCTGCAGGGGCAAGAAGCCAGACAAAACCGTCGGGTGGGGGTAGTTCCGGCGCAGGCTCTGATACTGCCCCAGACCCTGTTGCTGTTGCTCGAGGAGAATCCAGGGTAGCTGCAGCCGCAACCATTGCGCCCAAGAGCGAGGAAGACCTCTTGGCCCTGGCCGCATCCCGCCTAAGCCGTCGCAAGCGGGTGGTGGGCGCGGCCGTCGGGGTGGCCATGGTGCTGCTGCTACTTGTGGCCATCCCGCTGCTCGTGCACAGCTCCCGCGGGCCCGCGCACTACGAGATGCTGGGCCGCTGCCGCATGGTTTGCGACCCTCACGGGCCCCGAGGCCCAGATCCCGACGGGTCACCCGCTTCTGCGCCTCCATTTCCCCCAGGAACCAAAGGAGAGACTGGCCGGAGGGGCAAAGCTGGGCTGCGAGGACCCCCTGGTCCACAGGGCCCGAGAGGTCCCCCAGGAGAGCCTGGCAGACAAGGGCCCCCTGGACCCCCAGGCCCAGGCCCCGGAGGCGCAGTGCCTGCTGCCTATTCTCCCCGGATAGCCTTCTATGCTGGGCTGCGTCGGCCTCATGAGGGCTACGAGGTGCTGCGCTTCGACGACGTGGTGACCAACGTAGGCAACGCGTATGAAGCGGCCAGCGGCAAGTTCACCTGTCCCATGCCGGGTGTATACTTCTTTGCCTACCACGTGCTCATGCGCGGCGGCGACGGCACCAGCATGTGGGCAGATCTGATGAAGAACGGGCAGGTGAGGGACCCGTCCTCAATCGACCACTCAGTATCTCCGACCTGCCCGCCCCACCCCCATTTCCACCACCCTAGCTTGAACTCCTCAGGAGGGACACCTCCAATCTCCCCACTTGAGACAGCTTCTCTCCTCCCCATCCCCTTGACTCCCCCTCCCCCTTCTCCTCCCTCCCACCACACACACTCCAGAGGCCTTGGACTGGGTCCCAGGCAGAACAGAGGTGTCTCCAGATAGTTGAGTCTCTCTGCCCGATCTGGTTCTTGTTTCTCCCGACTTTGGGCCGAGCCCTTTTCCCTCATCTAGACTCCTTCCACCACCCCTCCTCTTCTGCCGACCCTGGGACCCAACATCCCTCGGGCGGTCCCTGCAGTTTCCAGTACTTCGCTATCTTTGCTTATTCAAAACTACCTGGGTTCCCTTCTACCCGCATCTCCTCGGAGTCTCTTCAATTACAGCTCCAAGCTCCCAACCCTGTTATCCCCTAGAGTTCCCGCAGACGTCTGTTGGCAGGCGGGTGGGCGCTGGTTCGCGCCGGATTCGGCTCTGATTTTGAAGAAAAAAGGCTATTTGTTTTTCAAACGCAAACAACTTCACGCCCCCACCTTACCACACCCTCCCTGCCCCACCCCCCGCCCCCGCATCCCTTTTTGCCTAAATCCAGAGGCTAGAGGTCTGCTCCCTTTCTTAATTGCCACTTCCGAGCTTCCCAGGGGCAGCAGCCCAAGGTGGGATAGGAGTGCAGAGTCTAGGAGGTGAAAAGGAAACGATATTCGGAGGAAGAATAACAGGAATGGAGGAGAGAAATTTACTGGGCAGCGCCCCGACCTTAAGAACCCACTGATCCGGGTGGCTGAGGTTCTGACTCCCCAGTCATCCCTCTGTTTCCAACGGTACCGAATAGTCCCCAAACACACCTGCACCTGTTGGAACTCTCCCAGATCTGATCGAATCCTAGTATTACGTGGTTCACACAAAGGGGGTGAGTCCAAAAGGGCGGAGGAGGTGTGGGAAGGAAGTCCAAAGAGGAGCCCCGTGGTCAGTACCTGTGACTGCTGTCTTTGGTTTGGGGAAACGGGAGCTTAGGTTCTTTTTGCCTAGAACACCGTGGGGGTCAAAGGTTAAGGACTAGGAGGTGAGGCGCTAGGGAATGTAACTAAGGGAGTCCTGAGTAGGGTAGGAGGGTAGGAGAGCTCTGCGCTGCGGTTCTAAGAGCAAGTCGCTAAGCTCTCTACGCTAAGCTGGCTCTATAGCATACTGGACGGGAGAGGATTTCAGTGTGTTCGTGTTTAAACGCAGGGCCAATTAAAAAGAAATTGTGGATGTGAAGCAGTCGGGCAGTTGTGCCCGGAGGGGTGACCCCAGGCTATGCCAGATGGCTCCTGGGTTTGGGGTCCCCAAGTCTGCTTTGCTTGTTCCTGTGTCTTCTTGTCTCTGTCCACGTATACCACTGTCCCACGTCTTAATAGTTCTGTGGTTGTGCGTTTCCCTGTCTCAGTGTCTGTCCGTGGTCTGTCCTGGTGTCCGTGTGTCTTTTAGTCCATTCACACCTACTGGCGACTTTCTTTGGGTCTCCCTTTTTCCCTTGCCTTCCAGCCTCTTGACAACTGAGGAAAAGTGTGTGTGTGTGTGTGTGTGTGTGTGCCAGGACTGGGGCGGTGCCCATTCTGTATTCTGGGCGGATGGCTCCCAGGCTGCGGCCCTGGGGACGGTAAATAGTGATTAGAATAATGATGAATAATTAATGCGTTAATAACCAGCCCCTGCAGGACTGGAAAAGAAATGATGGGCGGGGGTGTAGGAAGGAGGAGGAGTGGTTAACAATCAGATGCTTGAGGTGCGACTGCAGCGGGGGAGGGAAAAGAGAGAGGAAAGGCACTCCAGGGTCTATCTTACCAGTCTTTTAGCCCTAAAAGCAGACTTTAAAATTTCACGAGATCAGTCAGGTGGAGTATATTCTTCCCTATTTGGTCCAAGCCGAGAAAGTGTGGGTTAGAGACCTGAAGCCCGAACTTCTAGTTCCCGAGGCCCTCAAGATGAATCCGTTCAAGAGAAAGGGCACTGACCAATATGATGAGTTGTAGGGAGGTGAGCCAGCCAACCCAATCAGATACTGCATTGCCCCCAAGGACTTTACAGGGTCCTTGGCAGTGTCCGGCCTGCCCTGCCCCACCCCCCAGTGTAGTTAGCTTTGGGGAATAGGAATGGGAGAGAGACTGGGCCTGGGCCTGAGTTCCCAGGGATCCGCAGGAGAAAACTGAGACTCCCTCAGGTTGCCAACCCATCAGTCAGAAAACGAAGGGGGAGGGTGGGCCAAGTACCAGGAGCCCGGACTTCTGAGGTTGTCCTCGACATCGGTCCACTTACCCCAGGTCCGGGCCAGTGCCATCGCCCAGGATGCAGACCAGAACTACGACTACGCCAGCAACAGCGTTATCCTGCACCTGGACGTGGGGGACGAGGTGTTCATCAAGCTGGATGGCGGCAAGGTGCACGGGGGGAACACCAACAAGTACAGTACCTTCTCTGGCTTCATCATCTACCCGGACTGAGCCCTCTCCCGACCCCTGCCCTCACTGAACCATCAGGGCTGAGCCCTATCCTCAGCCGTTCCATGCCCACATCTTATTCCTTTTGCTTAATTAGACTGCCAGGTCACAGTCCCTGCTTCTCCCCCAACTCCAGACATAAACCAACAGAATGAAAGCTTCTAGGGGACCAGCTAAGCCTCCGGTGGCAGAGAGGCATAATTTGGGGGGTGATCCTTGTGAAATAGAGGACTGAACCAAGTATTGCAACACAAAGGTAGGTAGGCTCTAGGACCAGTGGTGTTAGGTGAGGCACAAATGAAGGTCCTGGAGAAGGTTTGGCCCTAGGTTGGGAGGGAGGGCAAGGGTTCAGAGCCTGATGTCCCCCCATAGAAAGGTGGGACAGGCAGAGAGGTAGGCAACCAATTAGGCAAGGAGATAGTGATATACAACTAGTAAACACCAGCATCTGGGGACAGGGAAGGGAATGCAGAGCATAAGATCTAGACTCCATGAGGTGTTCCGAAGATACAGCTAGGCCTTGGGCTAGGATGCTGGTCTTCTCCCCCATCTCTACCCACTCCCTCATCTCCACAAGGTAGAGGCTGGAGATGGCTGCTCTTCAGTCCTTATACAACTGAATCCAGCCTTGGTCAGTAAACTGAAGGAGCATTTTCTGGCATTTTAAACCCAAATTGTGCAGCTCCATCCCTACCATATCCCATAATTGGACTGAGCCCTAGGGTTACAGTTACTGTTCTCTCTTCTAATAAAACAAGGTTTGGGACACGTATAGCCGAGTGTGACTTGGGCTGAGAAGGAACAGCGAAAAGAAAGCTACATCGCCAGTCATTTCGTGACTTCAAACACCCCTACTACACCTTGAGTCCAAAACACTTTAGGGAAATGGACACGAAGGTTATGGGTAGAGAAAGGATGGAACCTCAGGGGAAATACTGAGTCCAGGAAAAACCTAGGTTTCAACACAGGGATAAGTCTCAGCTTCTAGTAGGTGGGGTGTCAGCTGAGTCCCATCAAGGCCTTATTCTGGAGAGATTAATTGGCAGAGAGCTTTTGACTTGGGAGTGAGCATGATGTGATGCCAGATTCTTCCTCCAGAATAGGGATTCTTAACCTGGGGTCCATGGACTCCCAAAGAGTTCATGAACTAGGATGGGAAAAAAGTTACATTTTTATTTAAACATAATTGGTTTCCTTTGTAATTTTATGTATTTTATACATCTTAAAAGCATTATTCTAAGAAGAAATCTGTAGGCTTTATTGCCTGACTGCCAAAGGCATCAATGACACACAAAAAGGTTAAGAACCCTTGCCGCAGGCTGGTGCCTCTACTTACCCATCTAATATCAAAGGAAAAGTGACAATAAAGGAAAGGTGCTAGTGGGATGGATGGAGGTTTGGGGAGAGGGAGTTTGTTGCCAAGGAGAACACCACTGACATCTAGAAGGGTAGATAATTTAAACATACCCAGATGGAGAGCAGAGACCCTAAAAGTGCCTTCAACACACAGTATAGCCATGGGGGAAAGATATCATGAGAAGGTTGGTAGTGCCACCTCATGGACAACTAACACAGTAGCAGCCTACAGCTGCCTTCACACCTTTATGTCAGAGGTAAGGAGTCTCAACCTCAAACTACTCTTCTTTCTGCCCTAAAAGAAGAAAAAAAAGCACAACTATGATCATAACATTTTATTGAAAGATTAAAAAAAATAAGGTCCATGTATAATAAATAACGAGGAATGAAGTGTGGGGAGGTTTGGAATAGTCCTAGGTAGCTGGAGAAGTGATTGGAACAAAATCCTAGAAAGAGAAGATATCCTGTTAGTCTGGGCTCCTCCTAAAACTCAGGGCCAGCTTTTCTTTACCCGGGTCTTCACTGGGTAAAAGGCCTACAAAGCCAGACAAGTCCACCCCCACCCTGACCCCCCACTGCCAAGTGAGGTTTACCATGGCCTCCTGCCTCTCCAGCCATGTGGCTACGGGATTCTTACAGATCCTCTGGGGACCAGGAATGCCTCGCCCGGTATAGAAGGCACACTCGTCATCCAGGCAGGCTTCATAGAGGAGTCTAATGGCTTCCAGCCATGCATTTAGTTGCCGGCATAGGGCTATGACAGCAGGACCTGGGGGTAGGGGATTGAATGAAATAAGCATGGAGAGAAGTAGGCAGAGATATTTTTTGACTATTCAATCTGAAGGTAAAGTTGGTCAGAAGGAAGATGGCACAGGTTCTGGTATAAGATTTTTCCCCCTTCTATGCCCCACATGAAAAGTGGATGAGACCAAAGTGAGACAGAGAAGGAAAGATAGGGCACCCCCTTATTCAAGGAGGGATTTCTCCCTCAGTACCCAGGGAAAAGTGCCTTTGCCTACCCACTCCCCCTTAAATCTGGCTCCTTACCTATAGTGCCCATGGGATTCCTTAGGGAGTCAAGAGAATGGAGAGGAATGCTGCCACAGAGTGGGCATTGAAAAAAGGTCAGGTTGGTGGAAGCTGTGGTGTGCATGCCAACGTTAGGCTGCTGTATGAGTTCTTGAATGCCTGGGCCCCCAGTGGAGATGGGTTCCCCAACATCGGGGTGCTGCATAGGTCCTTGGAGGCTGGGAAGTGAAGAACCATGCTCTGAGGGTTCCATTGCACAAGGAATCATAGCCAACTTGGGCTCAGTCATTTTTAGGTGAGACAGGCCACTCTGGTGGCTATCCTCTACTTTAGCCAGCCCTTCTACCTCCTGTTGTAATAGCTGCTTCAAGATATTGATGCGCTGTAAATAAGATAAACAAAGGAGTCATGAGGCCATTCGGTCCCTGTGACAACCTCCTGGAGGATGGGGCTGCTACCCCTACATCCCTGGGACCTACCTCATGCCTGCTCAGCTCCAGGGACATCCTGTTTGATGAAGCTGCTACCCCAACATCTTTGGGGCCCACCTCATATCTGCTCTGTTCCAGGGACGTCTTGTTGGATGGGGTGGCTACCCCTGTATCCGTATCCCTGGGGTCTGCCTTGTGTTTGCTCAGTTCCAAAGACGTTCTGTTTAGAGGAGTTACGGGGGAGGGTTTCTCAGGTTCCTCCTCCAGATTTGCCCAGCTCTCTTCATACAACTGCCTGACAACAATCTGCTCCTGGGGGAAAAGTACAATTGGGAAGCCAAGCTGATGGGGAAAGAGGCAGTTAGGATCCTTGCAACACCCAAAACTCACTAGGAAAATGCCAGGGTCTCTGTCAAAATGGAATCAGAGAGGAAGGCAGTTCATTTCTCTGAGGCAAAAAGCTTCCTAAGTAGCTCTCCCTGTGACTCTATTTGTCCCTAAATATTGTGTTCACCAAGAAAAGGCAATACGGTTTAGGGGACAGAGGGCAAAATAAGATCCCCAAGATCTGCTTCTCAAGAGGAAGAATCAGAAGCTACTTAAACCAGAATTTTAGTAAGAAAGGAGTACACGTGAGAAAAGCCGGAAGGGTATCTTTAGAGTAAGCTCAGAGCCAGATGGAGGTTGGACTTTGTTAGTAACAACTCCCATCCACTGCAATCTACTGCTACTCACCCAGGGCAAAAGTAGCCTTCTCAAGACAAAACTGGAGAGACAGGCCTATCACACATGACCAAGGAGATATCAACATACTGACTCACAAACTTGTGAACAAAGACAGAGGGAATGCCAGACCACTCAAGTGCCACTGCTCCCAGGTCTCCACTCTTCCTGGCAGTACTCACACCGCTTCCTGCTCTCTCTTACCTGCTGAACACTGGAAGTTGGAGCACGGGTGGCCTGAGGAGTCTTGGAGAAGACGGGCACATGACGTACCACAGAGTAGGAGGTCTGTGGAGAAATCAGAGAGTGGCTAGAACTCGTTGGGCCAGACAACTCACACTCAGGTGACTTCCTTCCTTAATCCTAACCCCATGTATGTACAAACCAGAGCTGGCGGATGGGTGACAGGTACACGATTAGCCAGTCCAAAGGGCGAGGCATGGCCTACCTGGCCAGGAGTGAACTGAATGAGAGGAGAAGAGGTCCAAGGGAAGCTAGGGCTATCCTGTGGGGGAGAAGACAAAGAAAAGTGGGACAGAAAACACCAATTTACCTTGCCTTAGATTACTCTGAAAGGAGACAGGTACATATAAATGAATTTCTGCTAACTTATCCACTGGAGAGAGGCTAGAAGGTTGGGGCAGAGAGTTAGTTTCATTTTAGAAAGGCCTGGTTCTGTTCTGTTTCAGACCTAGGCTTCTGAACATTGTAATACCCTTCTGGATATACTGATACTACCCTATCCACCTGCTCTTATTCTCAGTGCTACGTGCTACTGGGGAAGTCTCCCAAAAGCTGGAATTTCCTATCTCTCCCACTCCCAAATATCCTTGACCTCCACTCTCTAAGATATTCTCTGGACTCCCCATCTCACCATGGGGAGAGGGGCTTCATGTGTTCCTTTCAGTGGCACCTGCTGAGCAAGACTGTGGGTTTCACGTCTACTTTGGGAACTGTTCAGCATTTCGGAGGAGGCGGGGATGGTCGGCTCTCCTGGGGGTTGGTGAGCTATGTAAAGAATGACACTCATTCAAAATTTTATTATATGCAATATACTGTGCTAGATACCATGGAGTTTTACCTCCATGGTAAATAAAACAAAAAAGGTTAGACCATGTACACAAATGAGAATGAGAAGTCTGACAGAGGGGCATAAAGGGCTATGAGGTCAGATAAAGGGCAAAATCACTTCTGGCTAGAGACTGGAGAATCAGGGAAGACTTCACAGGGTTGGACCTATTTGAGCTGAACCTGGAAGGATGAGTAAGACATTAGGGGAGAGCAATCAGGCATAGGGGACAGCATGATCAGAGGATTAACTGATTCAACAAATATTTTTTGAGCACCAACAATGGCTCATCTCTGTGAACTGAAAATGTTGATTTAACCAGCAGAACATAAACTTCTTGAGAGCAGGGACTATTTTTTTATTTTGTCTTTGCATCCCCCTCCCTACTATTCCCCCCTTGCCCTAGGGGCCGAGCATAGTGCTTTGCACATAGCAAGTGCTTAATAAATGCTAACTGGATTGGAACTGGTATTTAATGTATACTTATATTAAGGCTATGGGGCAACTAGGTAGCAAAGTGGATAGAGTGCCACGCCTGAAGTCAGAAAGACTCATCTTCTTGAGTTCGAATCTACCCTGACACTTACTAGCTGTGTGACCCCAGGCAAATCACTTAACCCTGTTTGCCTTAGTTTCCTCATTTGTAAAATTAGCTGGAGAAGAAAACAGCAAACCACTCCAGTATCTTTGCCAAGAAATCCCCAAATGGGATAACATGTTAAGACTATGTAATAGAGTCAGTATAGGCAAATTTTCAGAGGCAGCTTGCTAAATTGGGGACCCTCATTTTCCTAAGGGGAGGAGAGGTGAGTAGAAGTGATAATCACATCCACTGGGGAGGGGGGGAGGCTAGGAAACTCTCAGTTGGCACATATGGAAAGCTCTACTTGGGGGCAGAAAGAATGTCAGCTAGGAAGAGGCACTCCCATAACCATGTACCATCTAATTTATACCTCCTGGCTCCAAGCTTTGATAATTCCATTCTACCCCTATAATTAGTTATCTCATTTTCACCTCACCTGGTAGCCTAGTTCTTATCCAGGGCTGTCCTGAATCACTGCCCATCTGGGTCCTGATGTCAGAAAGAACAGGAGGGTTGAATTATGCTCTACGTGTCACTCAGGACTATCCCCCTGTAAAGTACAACTATTGACATAGTGCAAGGCACCCCAGGGCCACTCAGTATAGTGGGACTTTCTGGTGACACATCAGACCCAGATAAGATCCTGGGTTACTAGTGACCCTGCTCTGGAAGGTCAGGAAGGGTTTGAGGACTCTGACACCACGGTGGAAGTTCTGCCACACTGTACTGGATTCTTTGTTTTTTCCCTCCCTCAAAGCCTCCTGATTATTTGAGTGTTAAGGCCATAGGTGGGCCCATAGTCAGGGAGGAATATGTTGGGTCATTCCTTTTCAGTGAGGTAGAATACTATCCCATCATGCCCCTATCATGGAACCAACCCCTCTGAGCCCAGACCCACTCCTTACTGGCTGATGACATTTCTTTCTGTTGACTCTTGATTGCTACTGAAGAATGAAGATCTGGTATAACGTCCTGGGGTCTGGAGCAGAGTAGTAAGGGGTAAGAGCACAATCCACCATCTACCTCCATCTCTCATCTCAAACTCCATTCCGCCTCTTCACACCCATTCCTTTCAGTACAACAATCCAACATTTACAAAGTCTTTGCTATGTGCAAAGTGCTGGGTATACTAAGGAAAAATAAAAACAGGCCTCCACCTCAAGGGTGGGTTTGGGGGCAAGTGAGAGGAAGGTTGTACAGAAGAGGTAATACAGGCCAAAGCTGAAGACTTTCAAAAGGCACCCATGAGGAAGGAGGACATTCCATGCAAAGGATGGACTGTGGGTACAGTGCTCTTTACCACTATCCCCTCTCCAGATAAACTGCATCTCCTTGAGACCCAGCTGCCCCCCATGACTACAGAACCGGGAATAAACTTATTTCATCTACCTCTTCCATCCCCAGGATCTAGCGCAGTCCCTTGAACATAGAAGGTGTTTAATACATGCTGATTGGAACCAGGTACTATTATTGAGTGACTATTAAAGCTCCAGAAGAGGAGTTCTTAACTTAGGATCCATGATCTACCAACAGGTCCAGGGATAGATTTCAGGGAGTCCATGAACTTGGATGGGGGAAAAAAATTACACTTTTATTTCAATAGAACTGGCTTCTTTTGTAATCTTATGTATTTTATTTTATACATTTTCAATCATTATTGTAAGACAGGATGACCAGGGCTTCACCAGCTGCCAAAGGGATTTGTGACACAGAAAAAGCTTAAGAACTTCTGTTTTAGAGTCTAAGACCTGATGCCTTGGGTCACTAGAATTGTGGGACTTCCTTGAGCTAACAGATGTTGGGGAATGTATGATCTACAGCCCCATTTCAGTCACAAAAATCCAGAAAACTGGACAGAATCCATTATGTCTGTAGAGGTCTGAGGGACTCCAGAGAGAGGCTTCATAGCCTAGGAACAGAACCAACAGCTGTTACTCACCTGTATCCCATAGGAGGCACATTTTTGGTTTTGGTTCCCCCGGATCAGTACTCTTTGGGCCAGACCCGTCTGGCAGCTGTGACCACTGCTAGTCACCTCCACCTTTGACAGCATGGTGGCCAAATCTCCAGGGTCCACTGAAGGAAGAAAGGTGATAGAAAGAAGTGACAGTAGGTAAAAGGTATAGGGGAGAAAGTACCCTGCCTCTAGGTGGTCCTAGTCCCACAACACCATCATGGGGATGCCCAAGAACAGAACTCAAAGGAACCTCCAGGCACTTACTCAGTCTTGCCCCTTTCCCAGTCGACCTTGCTGTGGCTGGCTCTTTTCCATCTAAGCAGCAGTCAACAGCCAAGAGAGGTGTATTTCTAGACCTTAAAGGAGCACCTGGCCTAGGCGGAGGAACAGCCTCCATATTTTGCCCCACAGAGCCTGGGCTGATTTCCTCCAGTGGGGCCCGGGGTCGAAGGCTTCCCTTCAGGCCCACAGTCTGCTGTTTCAGCTTCTGCCTAGGGCTGACTAGGTCTTTCTGGAGAAGCTGAGCACCAAACATCTTCTTCTGCATCATCTCCTGGGGGCAAGGAGAGAAGAACAGAAATCTGGGGTTCAGAGTGAGAGCTGGGAAGCTGGTAACCCCACTGCACCTCCATTCCTCTCTCCTTCTCCCACCGCGGACCGGCCTGGCTCAAGCTCACCTTTGGATCCCGATTCTCCTGGCCCGAGGCTTGGGACCCTCCACCAGAAAGAAGCAGGCATTTCCGGGCCAACACGGGAATCCTGCTGGGGGTGGAAAAGGCAGTTTGCAGATGGGTGTCCATCAAATCCCCACTGGGAGTCATCATGACCACTCCTGGGGTGGGGAAGGACCAAGGTCACGACTTTCTTCTCCCCCCCCACAACACACGGTCCAAGAGTAGGGTCACTTCCCGCAATAAGGCCACACTCTCGGTTCTTTCCAGCCCAGCCGCTAACTAGAGCAATCCAATTCTTCAGTTTGTAAAATACTCATTCAAAGCTTCTGATTGGCCGGTCCGCTCTCTCGTACGGAGCGTGGACTGGAACCCCGGCGTCCAATCCACAGAAAGTGGGCGTGCCCTGTCTGGTGGGCAGGGAAAGGGGCGGAGCGCTCGTCCCTGCTCCCCCCTCCCCTCTTCCTCTCTCCCCTCTCCGGCGCACCCGGAAAGCATGGGCGGTTTCCAAAGGGGGTGCATCCCAACCGTTTGTCCGCTGGCCCGGAGCCTGGGGTGGCGGGAGGGGAGGAGAAGGAACTGCCTGGGCAGGGAGTCGCGGTGGGAAGAAGGCGGTAGGGGTAAGTGCCACGAGATCCCGCGGCCGGGAGGGGATGGACCCTCGAGAGCGGAGGTGGGGGAGTATTGACAGGTTCGACCTAGACCTGACCGCGTGACGATAGGCTTCTTTGACGTTATCTCTGGAGCCATTTTGAAACGTCCTTGATGGGCTTCTGGGCTTGGGAGGTGCGGGAAAGGGCATGGGTGAGTGAGAGCCCTTCCGGGGTCGCGGGTATGCTACTAATCGGTCACTCCCCCGCTCAGAAGCTTTCTATGGCTCCCCATTGCTTACTGAATAAAGTACGTATTGTATCTGTCTTTATTGAGAAGCTTCATGATGTGGTAGAATAGTCCAAATACTTGGACGTACTTTGACTCTTTTACTTAACTCCGTGCGTACTTGTAATCAAGCTTCCTAAGGGAACTCTGGAAACCTCAGTTTCCTCAACTGTAACTGTACCATTTTGTACCATCCCCCGCATGGGGTTTTAGGGAGGTAATAAGGTGCATGGATATGAGTTATCCTGGCCTTTCATCATCTGTTTCTCTCACACTGTTTTCCCTCAGGAACTCTTATTTGTTGTATCCCCTATCACCTTCCATTAAAATCCTGCCTTACCCTGCCCATCTCAAATTCCACATTGCTGAAGCCTTTTCTGAGGTTCCCAGCTGCAACTTATATTGCCCCTTGTTCAGACCTCTCTTATACTCTTACCACCACGTATTATTTCTAATTAGAGCTGTAGTGATTGCATTTGCAATAATATATATTTATATACTTATATATACATATATACTTATATACATATATATAAAAAAGATTATATATGTGTGTGTATATATATGTGTGTGTGTGTGTATGTGTATATATATATATATATAT